TTTTTAAACAAAATTTGTAGAGAATTTTGTATTCTACAATATTGATAATAAATACAAATAGCAAAAAACCCATAGGAAATGAGATATTTCCAAAAAAAGCGCAAAAAACCGATTTTTGTGACCTTTGACCTTGAAATTTAATAGTTGCTTACACCCTACCATATGTAGGTTTTGAGACAACTTTTAGGGTGTCAATATACAAGTATTTACAGACTTTCAGCTGGGTATCTCGAATTCCGAGGTGAACTTACTATAATGACTGGACTAAGAGGCAAAAAAGACCTGCACGTTTGAATCTCAGGCATCTTCAGGTGTAGCCGATGAGCAAAAACCCTCATATGGGAAGGTTGTCGCGGGTATCAAGGTGGAAATCTTGCACCTTGAATGTCTGACTACCTCATTAATGATGAAACAGCACAGCATATACTTTGTGCCTGCCCCGCTGAGTACCGAATCAGGTTTTTAGAGTTCGGCAGAGCCGTACTCTTACCATCTGACCTGAAAGACCACTCATACAAACTAATCGGCTTCGTTAAGAAGCTGAGTTTATTTTGTCGAGTGTGAATAGGTGTGATCCACAATAAACCCGTGCTGGGTTGCGGTGGAGGGTCGAATAGACCCACTCATTTTGGACCTAACCTAACCTAACCATCTCAGGTTATCTCAAGTGGAGGAACAAATCCCCCATGAGCAGGTTAGCAAAAGTTTGCGCTCCAGTGATGATTCACCAAAACCAGAGGCAAAAAAGCCCTGCACGGTTGAATCTAAGGCATCGTCAGGTATAGCTAACGTACAGAAACCCTCATATGGGAAGGTTATCGCGGGTATCAAGGTAGGAATCTTGCACCTTGACTATCAGACTACCTCATTAATGATGAAACAGCAGAGCATACTTTGTGCCTGCCCCGCTGGGTACCGAATCAGGTTTTTAGAGTTGGGCAGAGCCGTACTCTTACCATCTGACCTGAAAAACTACCCACCATACAAATTAATCGGCTTCGTTAAGAAGCTGGGTTTATTTGGTCGAGTGTGAATAGGTGTGAGCCACAATAAACTCTTGCGGGTTGCGGTGGAGGGTAGAATAGACCCACTCACCTTGGACCCAACCTAACCATCTAAGGTTATCAACAACTATTTGAAGTTCTTTCAGCTGGTTTTTTTTCAGGATACAGTTATTGTACAGTCTTTATTGTAATTGTTTGCTAATAATCCCTTCTCTTCAAAATGTTTCAAAATTCCTGTCACCGTTGAATAGTGAACTTGTTTTTGTAGTTGTGGTCGAATGAAACATGTAATACCAAACGTTTCAGTTGCTATTGCGGCAGACATCTTCAATGTTGTATGCATTGACTGCGAGGACGTAGTAGCATTTTGAAGACTCGGCAACTACTGACTGAGTCAGTCATACTTCAGGAATAAATTTCATATGATAATGGCCTACCAGTCGGATTTTGTTATCTCGTGATGTTTCTTGTTACAGACATCTGCAACTTCATGCATCGTATAACTATCTCTACAAATGAAATTCTGTCTTTTCAGGAAATATTAATGGCATAAGGTTAATAAACAAGAACTTGAGACTATTTTTATAGGTCACTTGTCCGCTTTCACCACTCCCCTCCATCCTCTCGGTTTTCGATCATTCACTTTCACTTATTGTGTAAACTGTTCATTTATTCATTTTAATTTCAGGTTACAACAATTTGTTTTCCGTACAAATTAACCTTCTTACAATTATTCCATCAGCCTAAAAATTGTGTGGTCAGGATTTGTTGATGAAATCGACAAAGGCCGTTTTTGCCCGACCCTGATTGGCGAATGCCCTACCAGTGAGAAAGTTATCCAAGTGCTTGTAGTCGGTTAGCGAGTGCTCCGGGGGTATGGTGGGTTATCAACTCCGACGCTCAACTTGTTCAATTTTCGGACTGTGATTCATGAAACGTAGGAACGGACGTTGTGGAGCAAGATCGGACCTCTGCTGTTGACCAATACCGGCTGCCGCTGACACATTTTTTGGTACATTTCGTCGATTTTCTCATAATAGGACTCTGCTGTGATGGTTTGCCCTGGTTGCAGAAAGTTAGAAGGAATCACACCATCCGCTGACCACCATACAGTAACAACCATGGTCTTTTTTTGGATATTTTAGGATTTTGAAAAAAAAATCAAACACACATATTTATTTATTGCTGCCGTACATGGTACAAATATATTACATTATTTCCAAAACAATCATTTCATGCTGTCGTATCGTTTCCGATAATTATCGGTTAGCGGCTTATAATTTTTCAGGGTTGTCTATACAATATGAAGTAATTTTCTAAGTTTTTATATAATTATCAGAAAAAGTGTTTTAATTGTAAGTGTAAATGATGAGTTTTCACTTTTCAAACATCATTATTGAAAATTCACTTTATTTTTTGTTAGTTTCGCTTTGAATCAGTTCAGCATATTATCACAAACGTAGCATCTTAAATCTAATTCAAATAAAATAAGCCTCTCTGCAGTACAATGCTGATGATGGAAGCTTTTGGAGCTATTAGTAATAACGTTTGAACAATCTGTACCAAGCGTACTAGACTTTAACCAAGAAGCCAATCTAAGACTCTCCAAATTCTTCCAATTCATTTATACATTGACATGAATAAAATAATAATTAAGTATATATTTACACAGTGACAAAATAAAAAAAGAGAAACTTCACCTATATACAAGGTTGCCAGAAATGTCAAAGATCTGTTTATGATTTTAAATCTATTTTCATATTGAAAACTTGACGTTAATTTTGTTTCACTCCGGCCTAACGAATTGGGTTCCCGGAGGAATTTTGTATCCAGGATACGTCGAATTGAGCGCATGTTGTGCAAAAAATGATGTGTAATCCTTATTGGGCCTCTTTGGCCTAAAAACGGGACCTTTGGCCAATTCTAGACGTAACCTGTTTTCCTCTTCTGCTTGACTTTTCACATTTTCTGGAGGCCATTTCAGGTCTCCGCGCAGATGCTTTCCACCTTGAATAGAAAGGAAACTATTACTAGTATGAACATTGTCTGCTTCCTCGATCATCTTTTTCTTTACTTCCTCTGGAGGCCATTTCTGGTCTCCTCGCAAATATTTGCGAGCGACTTTAACTACAAAAGGAGAAAAATAATATGCATGTACTAAATGATTATCTCAGATCACCTGAAATATTTTTACTACATTTGAGGATGTGAAGAATGAATTGTGAAGGAGGTGTTTTGTATTTTATTTGACGATATAAAAAACTTGATTCTGAAAGGTTGATTATATTTTGGGAAACAACCTTCGAGAATAATGGACGATATTTTGTTATTAATGAAATGATTATGAACAAAGTATATGTCGAGGTTTCAACTGGAATCGTTATTGTTGGAAGGAATAACTGGACACATTCGTTTTTTCTGATGTGAAACATAATTATTCAGCCGTAACTTTTGGATTTCAATTTGTCTCCCATTTAGGTATTACAAGGTTTATGAAAACTAACTAATAGCTAACATTTGTTTGAAGGTGATTGACAATGTTTCATGATGAATTTCACTAGTTCGGACTTCCATTGTCTAACATATAAAATGATTCGAAATCCCTGAAACAACTAAAAAAGGAAAATTAAAAAATGAATAGCTGAAAATAACCATTATATTAAGCAAAAATAACCTGAAATGAAAGAATAGTGAAATAAAATACAAGTAACAATAGAACGATTGAACAAAAATTAAATGAAGTATAAAAATTATAATAAAATGAAATGAAAATAAAAATAAAAAATTAAGAGATTCCCAGCCACGTTAGTTTACGACGTTTCGATTGTTAGTATCTACAATCGTCTTCGGGTGATGACTGGACTGATTTTTCCGAGAGATGAGTCGAGTACTTTCACTTATCCCCGCTTTCCATTTTTTCTGCTTCACTGGTTCAGTGGGAGATGACTGTTTGGCGGGAGTTAGCCATTTTTTTTTCGCTTGATGATATATGTTGCGTATCTCTACGCTAGCTTGATTGAATACGTTGTTGGACAATATGTATGCGGCCGCCTTGAATTTTCTCCTAAACCAATGTACCTCTCTGTGTATGATCTCAGCTTGGGACCACTCGATGTTGTATTGATGGGTCCAAACATGGTCTGCTCTTCCTGATTTGCTGGTTTCCCCTCGTTGTGTGTGTTTCTGATGCTCGGCAATGCGAACATTCAATGGCCTCTTAGTTTCACCAATATAGAATTTTCCGCACTCACAGGGTATCCGGTAAATGCAATTCTTGGAATTGCAGTCCGCGTTTGGTGGCCTGGTTTTTGTGAGGCTGCTACGGATAGTGTTACTGGATCTGAAGCAGGTTCTGATGTTGTACTTGGAACCATTCCTTCTTATCCTCTCCGATAATCCTCTGATCTAGGAAAGCACTGGTTGTGACGGCTTCTCTTCCTTGCGAGGCTCCTGCTGTCTTTCAGCCAAAATCTTTTCTACCATCTCTTTGGAGTAGCCATTCCGTTCCTTCTTAAGACCTTCCTTCGTATTACAGAGCCCGAAAGCACGGTCTAATAGAGTCTTGATGATTCCTCTTTTAGTCGATTGATGGTAGTTGGATTCGTGGTTCAGATACTGTCCCGTGTGAGTGGGTTTTCGGTATACAGATGTTTCCCACTTAGTGTTTCCTCTTCACCAAAACGTCTAAGAATGGCAATTCGTTGTGGATTTCCTTCTCCATTATGAAAGTGATGGAAGGTCTCATGCCGTTGATGTGTTTCAGAAAGGCGTCTAGTTCAGTATTCCCATGATTCCATATTATGAAGGTGTCCTTCCCTAGCCCACAAGAAACCTCGAGTCTGGTTGAGATATGTTGACGACATCGAGTGGTCCCAAGCTGAGATCATACACAGAGAGGAACATTGGTTTAGGAGAAAATTCAAGGAAGCTGCATACATGTTGTCCAACAACGTATTATTTTATTTCACTATTCTTTCATTTCAGGTTATTTTTGCTTAATATAATGTTATTTTCAGCTATTCAATCATTTTATATATTAGACAATGGAAGTCCGAACTAGTGAAAATAATAACTAACATTTTACGTCAAAACGAAAATGAGCGTGCGTCAAATTTTAATATTCACAGCTGTCATCGACGCGAGAAATTTTAAAACGATTGTTTCAAATTAGTATCTATTATAATGATTGAAAAATGAATGAGAGTATCGAAGATTTTTTTGGGTTGTATTTATCAACGTAATCTCCATCAAGAGCCACACAATCATTCCAGCGCTGCTCTAACATTTCAATACTACTTTTGTAGATTAACTTTTGCCTCAAAATAGGCCTCAGTTTCAGCAATAACCTCTTCATTTGAGCGAAATTTTTTACTGGTGAGCATGTTTTTGAGGTCTGCGAACAGAAAAAAGTCGCTGGAGGCCATATCTAGAGAATACGGTGGATGCGGAAGCAATTCGAAGCTCTATTCATGCATTTTTGTCATCGTTTTGATGCGTTCAAACGCTCCAATAACGCTGTAGATCTGTATTTGTAGGGAGGGTGAGTGTAGGCCCACAGCACTTAGGCCGCATGTGACCCATTGTACATCCTCCCAAGTAGTTGTCCCCCTAGGTCATCGTCCATCCTGTCCTTTCCAGGAAGGTGAACAGGTCTCTGGGAGACATCTCCTTTATATCGGCAGGTGTAGGCCAAGACTCGCCCAACACACACTCTTTTATTGATGATAACTCCGGACATTCGCATAGGACATGCCTGACAGTTTCATCTTCCTGTTCACCCATCCTGCACAGAGGTGTGTCCACTAGCCCCATATTGTGGAGGTATTTCCTTAGTTGACAGTGGCCAATCAGAAATCCTAGTGTTAAGTGTAGATTTTTCCTGGTCATCGCCAGATATTTCTTCGGCGCCAGCTTCCCAGGGTCACCCAGGGTGATCCTGGCAAGATTGCATCCTTTGATTTCATCCCAGCTCTTCAGGGATTGAGCATGGGTGTGAGGATTGGCTAGTTCCGCAATTGTCGAATTCATCAGGCCGTAGGTGCCACTGGGTCCTGTATGATATTCACTGTTGATGGTATTTCCGTTCCAAATACATCCCGAAATACCGAGGCCATAACCTTTCCAGCCGATTGTTGTGCTTTCGGGCGCCTTGGAAGAGGTTTACCAGTTGCTCTCCACTCAGATAACGATCGTTTTGATTCCGGAATGAAGTAAGTGATCGATATTTCATCCATTGTCATATATCGACAAAAAATTTCCGGTTTGTTATGTTTATATTTATGCTTTTAGTTAACCTACACTCTTCACTTTCATTATTTTTCAGTAGACGATTTTATCTTCGTAATTCCGAACACAGATTTCTGTATTCCTGACTTGCCATACATGTACTAAAGCATATAAAATGGTCAAATAAAGTAGGTACTATACTCTACTCTAGCATCAGCTGATGTCATTTTCAGGGTATTGCTAGCAAATAGGTTATGTTCTAAATTTATTGCATTACATCTGAAATTTAGCGACTGTTTTGGCGGTTTTTATTGTGACATAACGTTCACACCTGAGGTATTGCAAATTTTTGATTTTATGATTGTAGATGTACTTGATTATATTATTGATATTATTTATTGTGACACTTCATTCCTTTACTATCCAGTCGAAACGTCAACATATTAGAAAAAACTGCTTCATTTTTAGAAATCAATTCCTATTTCAAAGAGACAAAAATCATCTTTTAACTTTATTCTATCGTTAAATAAATAGCCGCGAAAAACATTTGCACGATTCGAGATATGTTCCAGGCTCTTGGAAACGTCTTGACTATCTAACGTTTTGAAAATGTTGGTAATTCTTGTCTAATCCGAGGATGATTCACAGGATGGAGTTGTTTACCTTTTAGGGTCGCCGTGGCTGGTTGAGAATTGAAAACTGGTGGAGAAGCCTGGCTCACAGGAGCTGCCGAGCGGAGTGTGATTGTTGATGGTGGTGGTTCTACTGGTTTGGTTACCTAGAAGTTCATAAGCATTTGTTGAAACAAATAAAACCTTTTCCAATATGTGAAGCATTATAAAAGGATCATGTTGATATACCTATGAGAATTTTCATTAATTTCGTCCAGCATCTTGATGCTCACAACCTTATTGATTGATAGCACTTTATTTCCAACAGGCATTCACCCAATTACAGGAAATGTACAAAGGTGTTGATGAAAATATATGCAATATATAATTAGTTTAAAAAAAAAGATTGCTACAACTAAAAAAAAAATAAGTAGAAATAGAAATATATCACAAGAAGCGAAAAGTGATCACAGTTAAAAGGTTCTATTGAGAATACATTTTAAAATAAAACTTTGAGAACTGTGATTAATATCGCACATATCACATATTGAATTATAGTTGTTACAGAGTATTGACACTGGTGCTTTCAAACTGTTATTTGTTCTGACAAGATCACAGTAAAATATCGTGTATCTGGAATTAAGGCGTGGGGTGCGGAAGTTGATCATTTGTAAAAGAGGGGCACACGAGATCTTATTGTTTAGCAGTTTGTTAAATTGATTCAGAAGGATATAATAGTCGGTTCACTTCTGAGGATATATTCCTGTGACCTTGAAAGACAGATATTTTTTGAACAGCATCAATATGATGTATGTGGCAATCGTAAATTGGATACCATATTAACACGCCGTATTCTAGTTTAGACCTCACATAGGCATTAAACAGTGTTATAATCGTATTAATATTCTTGAATTCTCTGGTACTCCTTATAATCAAGCCCAACATTCGATTCGCTGATGAAATAGCCTGGTCTATGTGGGAAGTGAAAGTGAATTTATAATCAAAAGTGATTCCAAGATCTGTCATCTCATTTACTCGACTAACTGGAATGCTGTCAATAACATAAGAAACTTCTATTATATTCTTTTTTCTAGAAAATGATAAAATGTAACATTTCGATATGTTCAAACGTAAATGGTTCTTGGAACACCAGTCACTTATACCTACCTAAACTACAAGCTATTGCTATATTTTTAGGAGTACATATGATACCTATGACACCTCTTGGAAATGTACGAATTTGACAGTATACTAAAGAATGAGTTTCAGCATAATGCCGTGGGTTGCACAAAAATGGGACAGGAAAAAAAAAAGAAAAGCGACTTTTATCTGTAAAAATCATAAATTACTACCCTAAATAAAGTTAGTTTTTTATATCAACAACAAGGTTCACTTATTTCATCATGCCGTATGACTTAGTTGGTACATAAAGTGATAAACGTAAAATCATATGGAAGAGTTGGGGTTGAAGCTGAAATTTTCAATAAAAATAAAGCCTTTCAAAATCTTCAGATCAGTTGGATTACTACTGATGATCAGCTCTAAAGGGTAAAATGTATAATTTTATGGGGTGAGGTTATTTTATTCTTCACGACTAATTGATTTTGTATTTTATTTCTATTTGTGCTGTATTAGTTGCCGCACAAAAATGTTGAAGTTTCGAACAATTTTTTTTTGTAGAAAAATTTTTGATTTGTCATTTTACTTTCTTCAAGCATGAAGATGAAAAAAAAATTCACGTAGTTTTCTTCTGCATCAGGGATTTCAAATTGTAGTTATCACTTCTCATGTAGATTCGATGAGCTTTAAAGGTTATTCAAAACTTTTCAGCATTTTTAAATTATTACTATAGATAACAAAATATGATCCAAACTCATGATGCCGTATATTTTAAATTGCTCATTGATTGAGTATTTATCGTCTCCTTTTTTGATTCGTAATTAATATTGATAGATTTTTCAGGTTTGCAAAATGAATGAATTTAATAACCCACCAAACATGGAAAGATAACTACTTGTATAAAACTATGTATAATTATATGATGGAATCGGCCGATACTTGATGAAAATCCATAACTAACGTATTCCAAAAACACTTTATTGTGAGATTTTCACTAAATTGTTTTACAAAAACGCAACACGTGTTTCGCCATACAATGGCTTCATCTGGCGTGTCTTTCCTGACACGCCAGATGAAGCCATTGTATGGCGAAACACGTGTTGCGTTTTTGTAAAACAATTTAGTGAAAATCTCACAATAAAGTGTTTTTGGAATACGTTAGCTATGTATAATTATTCTCAGATACTGTTTATTAAAAAAATATGTGAAAAATTGATTTGTCAACAGACTTCATTATTGCCAGAAGGTGAATGGTGAATATTTCGAAAATTCACTGGAACAAACTGGAGAAATTTTTTAAATTTCGATATGTATATTCAGTTTGTAGATTCTTAACAAAATGCAAAACTGCTAAATATCCAGGAACGGCTTCACTGAGCGATCAAACTAGATATCACGTGACTTCCGTTTATGTTGAAAAATAATTTTTAGCAGCTTCTCGACGACAACTGACGTCACATTATTGCCTTTTTCACCAAAAAGTACTAATAATGATACTTTTTAATGTTAATTTTATCCGATCTTGGTTTCTAGTTCCGTTTGAAAGATTAGCATTGTTTAATTTCTCAGAAAAACGTTAGGTACTATTTCGTATACGTATTAGAAAAAATGGGATGTTTCTCCCAATTCCATTTATTTTAAAGGTATTTTTCCACAAAAATATAACATAGTGTGTGATTACCAATGCCGTACAAACACTTTTTTATTTAAAAAAACCTGGTGTAGAAACCTTCATGGTAGACCCATGAAAAAATAAAATGTGGAAAACACAGGTGTATCATGCGATCACATTCTCAATTTGCCAAATTTCAAAAGAAATCTTGAAAACCTTCAGTGTCCATAAGTATTTTGACGCGATTTACATAAAGCGGACTGCTGAAGACTTTCTAGACTTCCTATTAGAACTCTCGAATTTTTTTTATTTCATTGCTGTTCAGTCTTCTTCAAGCCAAACTGTGCCATTAACTCAGTTGAAGGATTAATGAAATCTAGACAAATCGTCGAAATTCTAAAAATTAATCTATTGTTCAACATATGCGTTGAGAATTTTGTCTAGCCAAAAATTATCTAATGAGTAACATATTTTCTCAAGAATTTTGTGATTATTTGTTAAATTAGAAGGAAAACTATTTTTATATTCTTTTCATGAACATCATTATTTGGACCAAAATGAGGAGGAATTGGCCAAGTACGTGAAGGGGCACACTTTTGATACTGATATATACAAATTGCCAAAACTTACTGAACAGTTTTTTCTTTGTGCGATATAGTCTGTTTCGAAGATGATTATACAAACAAAACCTGTATAATTAAGACTTGGGTATCATAGGAAATTAAAAAAACTGATGAGAATGGAGAAGCAGACCGCTCCCAGGTAAAAAGAATAGGAGAAAATATTTATAAACCATTTGTGCTGATTCGATTATGCAGGGGCATACTCCTCCGATGGTCGTTTGGCCTTTGTTATTACGAATGTCGATTATTAGGTATGTATATTTCTAACTGGTTAATTCAAGGAAATTTCTGATAACTGAACTTAAAAAGTCACAGCCATACACTTCAGAAGAAGTTGTTAGGAATGTATTGTCTGTAAAGAAATCCGATAAGGAATAAATTGCATATAATTGAAAAGGTTGGCAAGGGCATATTGATTTTCTTGCTAACAGATCCCACAAAATTCTTGAGAAGTCATTCTACTCAGAAGCGATAAGTTTTTTCTCAATCAGTTATTGTATATGAAATCTCCTCGAGGCACAAATAACCACAATTAGATATGAACCTAGATATATAGGGGCCAATATCTCTTTCGAATAATTCTAATGAGTTGCTATCGTTAGATAGACAAATTGCAACTCCAATTACGATTTGTGGAGGTTTCATCTATCCTTACACTGGTATAAAATTTTCCATAAATTATGATGTCATTCTCCAAAACTGCATACCTGAGATAGAGCAACTTCTGGTTTTGAAGGATACTGGGGAGCTTGAAATTGCTTTGGAGGAGACTGGTACTGCTGGGAGGATTGATATTGATTTGGAACAGGCTTGTACGGTTGGGGAGAGGTCTGGTATTGCTGGCCTAGGTAAACTGGTTGGGAAACGGGTTGATGAGCAGCCTGAAATTTCGCAGCCTGACTCGAGGGAGCCTGCCAAGACGGTTGGGTGGGAGTGGAAACGGGAGAATGAACGGGCGCCCAGCCTTTGCTGGGAGTGGAGGGTCTGTAACCCTGAGGGCCCTGGCTGAGTTGGGGAGAGGCCAATGGCGATGAACCACCTGCCGAAACGTCGAGGGGCTTCAGCGGTGAGCGATGGTGTATCGGGTTAGGGGAAACCTGCCGTTGCTGGGCGGGTTGGTAGTTATTCTGCTGTAAGCCAGGTGACTGAGAGGGGTATTGAGGTCCACCCTGGTGGGAAAAAAATATTTTCGTTCATTGTCGTTCTCTAAGAAAAAACCTTTGGAATTTTGTATTTTTTGAGGAATATTTTTTAATTTCGAGATGGTCGGATTAATAACGAGGAAACAGTTTGGTTCATAACCGATTACTCACAAACATCTTTAGAGGAAGACATATGTATAATATGAAACATACTTTCATTTTTCACTCAGCTTCGTAGTAGCATATATTTTTTTTCAATGCTAGCTTTCAAGATAACACATTTCATATCAGGAATTATTAAGCTGGAACCGGTTTTCCAAAAATTACAAAAAAATACAAACATTTCTATAATTGGTGAAACTTCTGACTGAATTGCGATACAGGTTTATATATAAATATAATTCAATCCTCAACCCTTTTTTCTAAGGTCGTACGGTTTAGAACAATTAGTAAAATGTTTCATAGAAAAACGTGAGGTGAAAAAATTACTTTGTCGAAAATTGTCTCTTTTACGTAACGTGTATCAAGAAAACCGTATAAGTTTCATGAAAAGTGTATAAAATAAACGTTGTTAGTATTTCATCAGATTCAATTTTGTATTGAAAAAATTTTACCTGTAAATCAGCGTTATTTTTACACCTGATGCTTTGTTTGAATTTTCCCCAAATCAACTAGATGGGATTGAAAACACAAAAATAGGGGGGAAGTCTCAGTATGATGTGTCCATACTTTTCAGCAATACTCTCAAGGGCATATACTTTTTCAAATGTTTTCATCTGTGAAACTTCAAGTAGTTTTTGGTATAGTTATTTCCAAAATACAAATTGTTATCCATTAAAAAACTTTGTATTTCATCTTTCCTCGAATTTTTATTTGGTACTTTGATGAGCTGTCGCGAATGATAGGAAGTGTTGTCAAGATCTATTACGCTATTCGCATCCAAATTTGGGATCAATGTGTTTTCAAACCATTCCTCAAACATATTAGCTTCCATGATCTTATGATAGTCAACATTGCAGTCCTCAAGTTTTTTTCCACATAATTTCAAAGAATTCTGAACCCATCCTTCACTTCCTCCGCAATGCACAATGATTAGTCGCGATCCTTTGTTTGCAGGCATGATAGGCGTACATATTCTCGAACTATCAGTCCACCTTTTCGTAACTGTTCCGTGAGTGTCATACCAAGTTTCGCCCAAAAAGAAAATTTTCCGTTGTTCTTGTCTATATTTAGTTATTTGTTCTAAGTATTTGTTACGCAATTCCACTATTTTTCTCCTTTCCATAACTGATTGACGTTTGTTTGTTATTTTCTTTATCCAATTCTGACCTTGTTGTCACAGCAGCTCACGTTATGGCCGGAAGTATTCAATTTCTTTCTTATGATTTCAGTTGTAGGAATCTCATTGCTTTTGTAACAGTCGTATATTGTTTCTTTCAATGATTTTATTAGATGAACATCCAAAGGTTTTGGTAATCCCGTATCACATCGCGTCTTGCGTTCATAAGGTTTGTTTTTGACTATTTTACGTACAGTTGCGAAAGGAATTTTGGTCAAATCTTATGTTGCTTGTAATAGTTTGTTTTCCTCGAAACCAAACTTGAGATATATATTCTTATATACATTGAAACATATTCTCTGTGTTTCAATTTTCAAATGCATCCGAATCTTATTCACTGGTATAACTTTTTCGCATTGTTCACCATCGCTATTGGATCCACTACACAGGGAAAAGTCTGCGTTGTTATCACACTCGTTATTACTATTAGTACTCTTCAAGGAACGACACATTTCAAACAGATAGGAACAATTTTAAGTAATTATAACTGCACCAATATCGAATTTCAACACTCAAATCGCGATCAGTTCCTGAACTGAATATTGACAACACGACGGCTATAACCATCCTTGCATTCTATTTGTCACCGTAACATGACTTCAGATTTAATTTTATGACTCTTCAGCCAATCATAAAACTCGGTTGGTAAAAATTATCCAATACGAACCACCAATTCTTCAGTTCCAGACTAGTTCGCAGCGGGTTCATTTCTATGTATTGGTTTTTTTGCCTTTGAGAGCGCCGACACCTTTAAGTATGTACAATACCTTTCACTTCGACTATACCTGTAACTTCATATCAGTGCAAGAAAGATCCGACCCAAAACAGCATTGTGCCTGAGACTCGATTGACTTCAACGCGGCTCGACTGTACCTATGTATGAAACCTTAGGCAAAGAGAAAGTTTTATTAAGTAGCAACAACTCAATCTCGTGGACAAAGTCCCAAAAGCGGGCAAGGAACATCTCATGGAACGAAGATTTTATACAGACAGCCTAGCCGTAGAGTCCCAGCCAACTGCTGTTCGCATCGGATGAACTGTGAACTGATGAGAGGTAGCAACTAGAAACCGGTCTGTAGGTTATCTACTCGACTGATTTCAGCGTGGTTCTGCTACTGGATGAACGAGAAGCATCTGCAAGAATATCCTTTGTAAGGTCTCTTGTATTAACGTCTGTCGTGTCGGGTATAATTCAATGTCCAACGTGGTATTATCCGGGAAAGTAGTTGTTTTCCGGCATTTCGACAGTCATTTACCACAACCTATTGTGTGGGTACATTGAAAGAGATGAATGTTTCGAAAATCCATTTCGAAATTTTCATTCTATTATACGTATTACATATGATACAGTCTTCACACTTTTATTGATCGATTAGTCGACTTCTTAGCGAAAAGATGATGTGTTTAATTCCAACAATCACAATCTACAAATAACTGTTATATCAAATTAGCAAAAGGTGAGATACTCGTACACTAAAGAAACTATAACTGTAACTGAAATCGAAACTCACCACAAATCAACAGTTATTTTTAAAGTTATTGCCAACTGCTTTGGCTCGCAAGCAATAAGTGTCGTATTTTTAATAAGTCAAAAAATACATAAATCAACTGGATTATTTTGGACAACCTGCTCATTTGGCGGACAAATGTGTTTATGAACAGATCTCTTGGAAAAACAAACCATGCCACTCTTACATTTGTGTTGTGTAGGTATCAATTCCGATTGTGAAAAAAGTCAAACTGGAATATCTGGCGTAAAGTGAATCCAAAAACAAGCAATTTCTTCTTTATCTCCCAAAGACGCCAACTTGGTTGTTAAAACGGGCGTCGAGAAGATTATTGAAGTTCTGGTGACTGGAAAAGGTGCTTGTTTTTGTATTTAATTTACGCCAGAGGTTCCACTGTTAATTTCTATTTTGAGTTAGTTGAACTGAGCAGAAAGGTTTTATGAGAATTATGTTCTTTATGAACAGTTTGTTATATTTGTCAGCCTAAAATTTATGTTAAATGAAGGCTATTATTTTCATCGTTATTTTCAGTATTATTAGTTGTTACTATTATGTAAATTACCTTTGCTGAAACTGAATTCTGTTCCACGTATGGACTATCTGGTCCTGATTCGTTTGGTGGTGGCCAAGCTACTCTCTTTGAACCTGTAACGAAATATTATTATAGTTTACACGATTCTTTCGAATTTTTTAATTTTATTGGTTTGGCTATATTTATCAAAATTGGACTGAGGACAGTAATTTGAGTTCTGAGGCCCAATTTTTGGAAACTACTTCTCTTGCTGATACTATGACAGATGTTGAAACATATTCGATAGACATTCGTACAGGTTTCCTTGACCTTGAAAATGTTTGTTGTTTTCGTGCAACAGAAACACTCATAAATTAATCGAGTAATCATCTACAGAGCGGTTCAGGAGAGTTATATCTCATTAGTACAGGACAGATCGAACCAAAAGACAACAATGTCGCTTATTATCCTAATAAATCACATCAGATTCCTAAGGCTCATATGCAATTTTGGTCTAAGTTGAAAGCAGTCAACTACGAAATTAAGTAGTGTCAGCTTCATTTCGTGAACAAAATCACAAATCACAAAGAAACCGAAGGTTAGATGGTATCCTTTTGCTAAGAGTGAGTTATTGGTTCTACTCACTGAATAAATCGCCACTGCGAATACTAAATCAATCCCTATTCTGGGAATATGTGTGTTTAGTATCATCTGACCCGTACTGAGAATCGCACTATAAAAGGTCAGACCTTGTTAATCACCAAGCAGTGTGAGGAGACTCGATTATTTGAGAAAATATATCGAGAAATGGTTTATATTAGGAACAATACAGTGAGTTCAATATATTTTTGTGACGTACACCCTTCATTACGTTACTATCATTGATAATTCGCAAAAGTTCAGTTTTTTTTTGTTGTTTGGTGTTCAGATAACGCTGGATTTATAGATTGAGTAACACAACGCAGGACGTACCGTAACACAAAAGGACAAACATTCACGCATCGCAGCTTTCAACCAAATCAAGAACTCTTTCAAAATTGTTTGAATTTCACGCATGTTGATGATAAAAAAGGTGGATTGAAAAGCAGTGAATAAAAAATTGAGTAAACTGTCAAAAAGTGTCGATTGTTGAATATAGGAATTCCGTGCTCTGATCGGTTGGTTATGAGTCAAAATTCCACAAAAAATGAAGCATAACCATCTTTTATCTCACGGATATGTTATTGCTTTTACTAAACTGCATTTATAAATGAACTAGTTGTTGCCCGCGGGTTCGCCTGCGTTGAATTTGGTTTGTCACATTAAGTTTCGTGACATATCATTTTGAACAAATAGTTACAATATTTTTTTTATCAACCCAAAACTTCAGGTTTCCAACTTCAAAACTGACGAAATTTTTCATAAAGAAGGTTTTTAGGCTATCAATTTTTCTGTAACTCGCCATTAGATGGCGCTGTAGAACACTTTTTTGAAAGCACTATTCTATAACGCTGCGCACGCCTAAGTTCGTTGATTCTGATTCTGTCAAAACATTGGAGCAGCAGTCATACAGCAATATAGTACTAATTAGTACTACAACTACCAAATTCTACGGTGCGAAGCCGCGGGCAACAACTAGTATTTTATAAGTGAGTACTTATTGATTGACTGACACTCTTATATTAACGTATAGCCGAAGCTTCTGTACCAAGAATTTCGAAATATGCAGGTAGGTTCTTTGTATAGCGAAAATAAGCATCAAGAAAGAGAATCAGGAATTTCCACCCCCCAAAGGGAAAAAATAGGGGTTCAAAAATTGTATCGAATTTCGTCAGTTTTGAATTTGGAAACCTGGAGTTTTGGGTTGATAAAAAATATTGTAACTATATGATCTGTCACGGAACTTGATGTGACAAACCAAATTCTTCGCGGGCCAAGCCGTGGGCGACAGCTAGTTATTTATATTTTCACTTAAAAATTACAGTAAGTGAAAAAATAGGGGAACTGCACTAAGTAATGAATAACTTCCAGAATCGAATTATGTTACCTATAAAGACATTTCGCAAAACCAACACAACCGTCAACGACATCTGCTTTAACGCGCCTGCCCGCGTTCGGGTCGCGTTCTCGGCGATGGCGCTTCATTGCATAGACCGCCTCTCTACCCCCGCGCATCGTCTCAGTAGACGCGATGCGTAATGACCTACTGCGTTGCATCAAGTTAATGTTATTGTGATAACTTTTGAACGATTCGTCCAAATTACTTAGTGTAAAAAACAAATTCTATCTACATTAAATACTTGAAATGACAATTGTATCAATTCATATAAGAATTTGACAAATATTCTAAAATGTGGTAGATATATGCAATCGCGAACTTTTATTCAGAACTATTTAAGATAAACAATTCTACGGTACATTATCTGCATGTAACTCCAATGGAGCTATGACTAAAATTATACAAAACCTTCGTATATTGTAGCTGATGTATAAGCTGTATTTATGTAAACAGTTTCGTTTAAATCTGTTCAGTGGTTTAGGCGTGAAAGAGCCACAAACATACATATATACATACATTTATCTATCCTCATAAACTTTCACATCTATAATATCAATATAGGGTATAGAAATAGAAAATGCACGTGAATCTGATTTTATGGAACGGTTCGCGTTGCGTTCATATTACGTAATCTATAAATTCCGGTTGAGTATGGCATTTCCCATTAATTTTAGTCTTCAAATAACCTCATAGAAGAAGTCATCAAATAGGTTATGAATGAGTACTTCATCCTGTATGAAATTATACCCATTTATAAGGTTAAATTCGTTGGAAAAACTATACTTCATACTTAACACCGTTTGAAAAATCAGAATAAACAAACAGACCAATAATTCTTCTGGAGATTTCTTGGATAAACTGAAAACAAATTTTCTTCAATTTTTTCGAAGGCATTTCGTTAGAAGAGTAGAAATGTCTTGTTCTTATTACATTTCAGCAGATTCTCTAAAATTTAGCTTTATTTTTCCGATTGTGGAAGGTTCAATTTTCTTGGTCTGCAATGCTGGTTTCAGTTCTCAGGGTAGGCTTCAAAACAGCCTCACTTTTTCGTGTTATATTGAAAACACTTAAATCACTTACAAGTTTTTGTTACACGTTCTATAGATATCGGCAGGCAGAACTCATTTGAGTATATTTTTTTACAGTATTTGTTTGCTCTTGAGATATCCGGCTGACGGGATAAGTCTCTTACTTATCAGTTTTTTTGCGTGGAAGAATGACACATTGTTGACAATTGAGGCAGACAGAAACACAAAACATTCACACCAGTCATATCAATAGTCTTGATACTTCTGATATTTGAATTCAGGGGCGATAAGGACAGCAGAATGCTTGGACAGAAGGGATGCAAGATCCATCGTAACGCGATACAGCATAATTTATCCTCCTGCTCTGCCTATTAATGAGCAAATGGAAACAAGGAGGACTTGATACTGTTCTCATGTACTTCTACTTCTAGATTATCTATGTATGGAATGACGTAATAACACTTTAAATTCAGGGGTGATAAGGACAGCAGAATGCTTGGACAGAAGGGGCGGCAAGACCCATCGTAGCGCGATACAGCATAATTTATACCCTTGCTCTGTTTATTAATGAGCAAATGGAAACAAAGAGGACTTGATACTGTTCTCTTGTAGTTCTACTTCTAGATTATCTATGTATGTAGATTATCTATGTATGGAACGACGTAATAACACTTCCAAAATACAAATCATGAAATTAAAAAACAAAAACAAAAATTAATTGGCGCTCCGTGACGACTTTTATTGATTCCAGTGGTGCATTTGCTTTTTCAGCTGCAGCTGCCAATGTCCTCTCTCTCATAAAACAAAATGTAGAGTGTCTCCAGAGGCTTCAATATATTCAATACATCGCCATAACACTTAGTGACACGACTAAATTCAAACTTGAACCAGTCCGTTTCATTTTTAACCAAGACGTAATAATGACTAGATTCAACGCCACAACCACAGTGAACAATGCCTGCATGAATATTATAATAGTGGTCTGCTAGGTTGAAGTGTACATCTATTTCGAACCTTCGTAAGAGTTTGATGCTTCCGTCAGAGGTTGAGTCATGTTTGAAGATCATCACTGTTATTATTAGATTGACTGGTGCCTCACCAATTTTTGTTTTCTTATAACAATCAGTTAGTTTGGCGCATGTTTGGCAATACAGTCGATCATCATCTGTGAAAAGTTCCATTTTCAGATGAAAATACAATTAGTTATTTTTATTATGAACACATTGTTTTGATTCTCAAAATATATTTATTTTCACTTTTAGAAAAAAAAATTGTTACTACTTTGTCGATTTAAACAATTATATCCAATCATTACAAAATGGTAGGAAATTTGGTTCAATCTGTATATTTAGAAGCCAGTGAGGCATTTTGATGAAATTTGTTGTGAATAATGTCAAACTTTGGAATTGGAAGGATTTGGAAGAACTTCTGCAGGGATGATCGTAGGAAAACTACCCATTTTTGGAAGAAATATTCCCAGTACTGTAATATTACAGTACCGCAATAACCTCGACTCATTGTCATTTTTCATCACCAGAAGTATTCAAATGAATGAAATAAATAAAAGTCGACCTATATATCCCGTGCCAAAGCACATAATATCAATTTGGGTAATCATTTCAATTTGAAATAATTGCATACATGAAACACATATACGAATTCATTACGATAACTGATAGTTTGGGAGGAATCCAATAATCAATTACCATTTAATTTTAATCGAATACCTTTCAAGCGCTGTGAAAATGATATATGAATACAAATTTTGTCAATTAGTTTTATTGTAAGTTTCAAATGAGGGATTACTCGATTGTACTTGGCGGGCAGAGGAAAATCAGAGTTTAGATCAGTTCAGAGATTTTCAACATCGAACTCAGTCATAACATTCACTTGAAGTCGAAACCTGATAATATGCTTATACAATTTTAGGAAAAAAGCAATGAAAACCTGAAAACATATTTAAGAGATGAAAATGAAAGAATATTCAATTAATTATCTAAATCTGGACAATAGGTACATAATGATACAGTATGATGGAAATAATGCTGAAATATTCAATTTTTAAATGAGTAGGTATATGTACAATTGCCTTCAGAGAAACAAAATTCAGAACAAATTGGAGAGGAAACGATTATTGTGAATGGATATCTTAATAATGATGATGGAATTTATGAAATAGATAATTTCAGACTGATAAAACTGCCAATTGTATATGTACTCGTAAATGCTGCAGTATATGAGAAAAAGACGAAGCAAGGTGAAGAACTAGATAGATAAAGATCAGACTAATTAGTATCCCAAGATAAATAGAACGACAGATCACGATAATGTGGACTGAATGGAATAAAGAACGACTAGAGGACTGATAATAATTGTTCAAAAAACCGAATAATATATAAGAAAAACAAAAAAGAAAGGAATGGAAGAAGAAAAACAATTGAACTTTTAATTTACGTACTATCTAACTATGTACTGAAACAAGAATCCAACTGAACTATTATAATAAAACCTAATGTGAACTCCTCCATTCAATAACACAACTGCAAAAATATATATCCAAAACAGTGATATTCAATGATCGGACGAATTCAATAGAAAGAAAGGTTAAATTTTTTACCGTCTATATAGGGATGGACATCCCATTGGAAAATGTGGAGAAAAAACAGAAATTCAGTAATAGGTTATGATAACTTGGCAGCAACAAAAATTATTCTTTGAACTTGGTTACTGTTATAGTATACTTTTCATGAATATTATGTTTAATTGATTAAAAATTGGATCTGAGAATAACAAAAAAGTATAAATTTGCATGCACCATTCGTCATTAGTTTGATAATGATATACAGGCTGTCAATTTTAAAACTTTCCACACCTAATATCTTCCTTCCAGTAAATAATATGAGGAATCGAAAAAACAGGTCAATTTTATAGTCAAGGAATAAGTGTATCTTTCGTGGTTCATCCCCCAAGGACTGATAGAAATAACCTTTAGAATGATAAATGGGAAGGGGAATTGAGGCACATCATTTTCATTGGCGTTCAATTCTGCTTCGAATGATACCCTGGTGTTTTATTTTTTGATGATCAGTTTCCGAAAAATAGCGTTCTGAACTCACACATGTAATTAGAATTTTGCTCTTAACAGTAATAAAGTCTGTTTTCGAACTCCCCTTTAACATTGCGGAAAACTTCACTAGGAATTGACTGGCATGCTGCTGCAATTCGTTTTTTGAGTTCTTTAATATCAGAAGGTAGTGTTTTATAAACAACGGATTCAAGATGCCCCCAAAGAAAGAAATCCAAGGGCATTATCCGGTGATCTCGGAGGCCATTCAACTGCTCCCCTTCTGCCAATCCATCTATCTGAAAATATGTCATTTAACCACTGTCGGATAGGGAAAAAGTAATGTGGTGGAGCACCGTCCTGCTGAAAATGTAACAGAACCTCCTGTAAAAGTTCATTACCTACCTTCTGCATCCATTTGAGTTTCTAGCTCGTGAGTTATAATACGATCGATAGTCTCTTCAAAGTACATATTGCTAGTCAAGTTTTTTTCAGAAATAATGGACCAATAATGGCATTCCCAAGAATACCAGCCCAAACATTAACTTTTTGTGGGTGTTGTGTATGCCTTTCCAGAAAAAGGTATTGGTTTTCGTCAATTCAATAGCGACAATTTTGTCTATTAACATTGCCATTCAGAAAAACTGATCACTCATCACTGAAACAGATGTTTAACAGAATATAAGGGATGGTATTGACAAGATGAGTCATGATTTCATAAAAATCTATTCTAACATAATCATCATCATGGAGCTCTTGAAGAATCTGCATTTAAGGATGAAATTTATACATTTTCAATGCTTTTCTTACAATTTCTTGTGGCATTACCGTCTGTTCTGATACTGATCGTAATGAGCTCGTGGGCTCTGCAGTGAATATTCCCAAAATTTCAGTTTGCGCTGCTTTATTCAGTTTGTTCTTTTTTAATTTGCCACTGACCCAGTTTCGTACAACTTATTCACCAATTCAAGCACACTATTTTTACTTGTAGTTTATTTCACTATTATTTCATTTCAGGTTTATTTTGCTTAATATAATTGTTATTTTCAGCTACTCATTTTTAATTATTCTTTTTCAGTTTTTTCAGGGATTTCAAATCCATTGTCTACAAATAGTAGACAATGGAAGTCCGAACTAGTGAAATAAATTTGTAATAGCTGTTTTTCTTGATCTGAAGAGGGCTTTTGAAACAATTGATCGTAATATTCTTCTAATAAAATTAAGAGGTTGTGGCATTGATGGTGATATTTACCAATGGTTATCTGACTATTTATCCCATAGAAAGCAAAAAGTCAGAGTTCAAGATAATATCTCACAGGAATTGGATATACATATAGGTGTGCATCAGGGTAGCGTTTTAGCACCTCTGCTTTTTATGTTATACTTGAATGACAAACTCGTTTATAAATGTTGATTTTATAAATTTATTTGCAGATTATACACTATTGGCATTCTACGATTCAAGCTGAGATAAAGCTATTGATGAAATGAATGCCGCATCAAAGGATGTAAATGTGCACCTCATGGCAAATAAATTAAAACTGAATAAAATGAAAACTAAAGGAATGATTATTACAACAAAATATGAATGGAACAACCTTAATTTCAATGAAATAAATGTACAAATCGATAATGAAAACATTGAAATTGTGTCATGTATCAAATATCCTGGATTCTAGTTAGATAATTTATTACTATATATTTTAGATATTAAAAACTATCTAAAACACCATATTTCTTTGCATGAATTTCTGGTAATTTATCCACTCAGTCTGAAATTACTGTGTATAATACGATTATCCAACCACATTCTGATTTCTGTGCTCCTATTATTTTCTTGTTTAATCTAAATCAAACATCTCAATTACAAAAACTTCAAAATCGCGGTATGCGAATTGTTTCAAAAGTGAATAGATTCACTGAAATCCGAATTATGTGATTATCGTTGAAAAAAACTGGCTCAGCGATACCAAAATTCATTATTTTGGCTCGTGGTATTTATCCTAACATATGACTATCTCATTTTTGCAGGTTTATCATCATACATAACCATTAAATAAAACAAGGTACTGCATAATAGAATACTGTTGAAAATTAGAGACCAGCTTCTCAACAAGCATCATTTTTTAGTGTAGCCACTTTGCGGTGGCTACCAGTTTCTGTACGGTTGTATTACTCAACTATGACATTTATATATAAAATTCTGAATAACTTATCACCTTCATATTTTTCTGAATTTGTTAGTTTAAATTCAGAAGTGCACAAATATGCCACAAGAAATCACACTAATTTGCATTTATATAGAACAAATAGGAGAAGTGCCATGAATTCTTTATTTTTCAAAGGGTTGGATGAATACAATAAATTACCAAATGAAATTAAGTCCAGTCCATCATTAAGTATTTTTAAAAACCAGTTATTGAAATCCATCCATAATGCTATATAAATAATACTTGGTAAGATAATATTAATGAATATAGTATTTGTATGTGGTTTTCTGCTTTTCATCATTGTATTGGAGCTGCACCTACATTGCAATTTATTTTTAATACCATATGTCGTTATTTCTCAAACTAAAATAATTTATTTTCAAATTTTGAATTATATCTACATTTCAAGTATTTTTTTTATATAATTATTTTCAATTTCAATGAGTAATATGTTTTATATAATATTGTATATTGGGATTACCTATTTCAATAAATATATTATTCTTCTTCTATCATTGCAAAATGCTTGGTTAATTTTTCGGGCTGTTTCGGCAGCGCTTTGGTTGAATTCGTAGAGGAAAATCGGTTAAAAATAGCTTAACCACATCATAGAGTAATGAGCCGAAGAAAACTAAAAATTTAAAATTTGGAAGTAATGAACAGCATCAGTGTATACAGTACACAATTGTCTATCGATCAGTGTACATATACCACGATCTAGTAAAATAAATATTCATTGAGATGTGGAGCTACAAAAATACATGGCATCAAAATGAACAAAACGTTTGAATCAACCTAATACCAGGTCATCAGAAGATGTTCTCAAATATATTGAACTCTCGTCTGGGAATAAAAAGTCCACAAGTAGTGTTCAGACATTCATTACACTTAAAAATGATGCTTGTTGAGAAGCTGGTCTCTAATTTTCAACAGTATTCTATTATGCAGTACCTTGTTTTATTTAATGGTTATGTATGATGATAAACCTGCAAAAATGAGATAGTCATATGTTAGGATAAATACCACGAGCCAAAATAATGAATTTTGGTATCGCTGAGCCAGTTTTTTTCAACGATAATCACTTAAACACCTGCACCTGCCGATAATATGTGAGTTAAAGCAAGTGAATTTGAATGTATTCAAGTCTTCGTCATCCTATTTTATAAATTACCAAAAATACAAATTGATTGTTTGAATTATGAAGTATGACTAAATAAGTTTATTTAGGTAGAATAATTATTCTACCTAAAATGAAGTTCTAGAAATTATTCTTCTGAGCCTTTTCTAGGTAAGCTCCTTGTTATTTCAAAACACACTTTGTTCAAAAATTTCAGGAATTCAAGCAAATATTGCCTAAATATAAACACCTCATTCACCCAGACTGGAACACCTATCCAATTTATTTATAAATTGACTGCATTCAACGCACACATATAATTATTTTATTAATACACCAATCCAAACCTTACACGATCAATCACAAAAACCAGTGGCGTTACCTCAACAACTAGCTCTTCAAAACGTAACTTACAATAAGACACTGCCCTAACTGACACTTTTTGCACTGTACACAAATATGGAAGGGATAGAAAAGAAAAGAGCACATGCGCATCTGATATTTTTACCTGGTACAACGACGTCTTTAAATGTCGTCCTGAGTTTGTTTTTGTACTCGTATCCTGGAGGGGGCCATGTAAGATTTTCTTGAAGAGATCTCGATTCACGGTTACCTATGAATTGGACGCACTTTGAATCATTTTTAGGTCAGGCGAAAAATAGCAATGAATAGGAATCTAGAATAGATCAAATGAATGAATGTCGTATGTTTAATGATTCATTTCTTTGGTAAGTATGCTTTATGGTTTTGACGCAATTTCTGAGGTGATTCAGCAGGTGCTGATATGAACGAAAATAAATCGTGAGAAATAAAAATAAGTGATGATTGTCGGGGAGAGATACGAACGTAACAAGAAAATGAATATTTTGGATTGAAATTTGGAATATTCACCTCGCCCAATGTTTATGCACAGTAGATGGACATTGGACGGAGCAAAATCTTGCAGACTTCTAAACCATGCAGCAGTAATACAATCTGATGAAATCCGGCACCGGACTATACGAGTAGGTTATCATTCGATTGATTTCAGCGAGATCCTTCTACTAGACCAGAAGTTCTCAAACTTTTTTATATCATAGACCCCCGCTTACGAATTGTGAACCCCCATTTTTGGTCACGCCAACGTATACTCCCGTCGAGTCTCTTGCAGACCCCTGGGAGTCCATCTGTACCACTTCGCGAGTCACTGTACTAGACAAACGTGAAGTCTATGAATGAAGTTTCTCTGTGAGGAAATATCGTCGGATATAATACAATGTCCGTGATGCTATCAGCCAGGGAAGCAGTTGTCCTCCGGCAGGCACTTGAAAGGTCCTAAAATACTCGTATTAGAACATTGGGAGAGGTGCATCTTCCAAATGTTTGTTTAAATATTCATCTTCTCAACAATGACATTTAGTTTTCTTTCCAATTTTGCTCAAGTGTACTACAGATTGAATGTGGTTCATTGAAGCTTCAGAGGAATAAGCTGATGAGAAGACTTTCCAGTTGAACATCATTGCTGAGGTGAACCTGTTTGAGGAAATTCTCGAAATGGAATTTTTTCGTCTATATATTATCCTTTCAATCCGGATGTTTCCAGTTATGATCATGGATAATCAGTAAACTAATGATTTCAGCGGCTTTTCTAATCATTCAACAACAAAATTTGCGCTTTTGATGTTCGATTGAAAAGTATAATTTATTATAGTTGTTTAATAAGATTGCGGTGGGAAAATTTATTCGAATGGTTTCATTTTTCCTGCGGAAAATCAATTCGGTATAGTGTTGAAACTTTTCCAAATTGAATTCAACTTATGTTCGGAGATAAGGACTGAATTCGCTGAAATGTTGAAATTATAAAGAAATTTGTTTGGAAATTACTCACTATTAGCTGGTGAAGAAAACAAGGAATTAAAATATTTGAAATTCTTTCACAATCAGCTTACCATATGAGAAATATTAATTTCCTGCTGGTTAAATTAATCCTCACTAGTTTCCATATATCTCATATAATTTGATGTGAATAGTCATGATTCAGTTTTGTATAGATCAAAAAATTGGTTAAGGCTTTCGCTTTTTGTATAGATTATTGAGAAAATATATTTTAACTACTTTTGGAATAGGAAATAAAATTTATTTCTTAAAAAACTATATAGTGCATTCCACTTAAACCGGCTAACCTGAATAAATTTTGGTACAATAATTTTCAGGAAAAATGAAAAACACGTCAACAATAGTATACAAGGGAATATATTTTGACACATTCACATTTGATGTTACTTTACCCTTTCTTGTTTCGCTTTGGTTGGATGGAAGAGCAAGATCTGCTCATGTTGCGATTTCTCCTTAGCATGGTCAGAAATTGAATTCTGCCATTCGATAGGAGGTTATATTTTTGTTTATATATATTTTTTTTCAATGAAATGAAATGAATTATTATTATTATTATTATTGTTATTATCAGATGCTCCATGATGAGCAGATTTCAACAAAGTATAAAAGATATGGCCTGAAGCTTATGGTTCGAGAGCTACAAATTATTTGAGTTGAAAACGAGCCACCGTGAATAAGTATTAAAATAATGATTTGCAGGAAAAATAAAAGCACAGGTCAACAATTACACAGGAGGCCACATTTTGAAATATTCGTTCTAAAGACAAATATGGAAGCAATAAATCAGAAAAAGAGATTTTTATTAATTCTTGGATCAAAATCTGATCACTGGACAATGAGAAGGAAAAAACATTTCTATAGTAAATGCTCAAAAACGTTTTCACCAACTTCAATTCAATGATACAAACGAGCTTTCATTGCCGCCCTCACATGGTTGAGAATCTCGGGAGTTATTTCTATGCAATGTCTCATTATGTATTCTCTCTCCAATCTTCTAATGTTGTGGATTCTATCTCATATACTTTAGACTTCAAATGACCCCATAGAAGAAATCTACAGGAGTGAGATCCGGAGACTTTGGTGGCCTAGGACCTCTTCTGCCAATCCAGCGACCAAAAAAATGATCTTTCAAAAATTGTCGCACTGGAGCTGCATAACGAGGAGGTGTAACACCTGCTAAAAAACTATTTCGTTTTCGAATAAATTTATATCATCTTCAATTGCCCTATTGATGCACGGTATTTTTCGATTCTCCAACATATCCAAATATTCATCACTAGTCAAATTATCATCGATAAAAAAGGTCCTATGATGTGGTCGCCTTAAATTTCTGTCCAAACATCCAGTTTTTGAGTTCGTTGGGTATGAATTTGACGGTATAAATGAGGATTCGTATCACTCCAATATCGACAATTTTGCTGATTTACCTCTTCATTCAAACTAAACGTACATTCACCCGAAAAACATATTTTATACAAAAAATTCTGATGCAAGTTGTTCCGATCAGTTAGACTTTCACAAAACTCGATACGTTTATCGAAATCATCTTCATTCAATTCATGAATTAGTCTAATCTTATATGGATGAAATTTGTACTTATGAAGGATCCTGAACACATTTTTACGACTGATTCCTGATTCTCCAGATAACTTAGTAAGAGATTACGAAGTTTCTATTAGTCCAACGTGTCCTAAAACTGCACTACCAATAGCTTCATCGTTGACAACTCCTAAACAATTATGCTTTTTATTGTAAACAGATTCAGTTCCCATAAATTTGTTCGACAATTTCGAAACGTATTTATATGGTACATTTCTTCCTGGATGATTATCATTGAACATACGGGCAACAGCTCTAGCGCTATTTCCATTCTGTTGGTACAAACTCAATATTTCAATTCGTTCTCGAAGCGTATTGCTTCTCAAGAATTCACAAAAGCAGAAACACCAATTGTAACTTCACCCGGTAGATAATCCTCATTGTAGAATTAGACAAATACAAAATGAAGAGAATATCTAATTCTAACTTAACTACGCAAAATAAGACTTTTTTGAAGTATACTTCACAAAAACACCTATCTGTTTGAAAAATCTGTTTAAAATTTGTTTTTCCGTTAATCAGCTGTCGCCCCCATACGAACGACAACTCTCAGAAGTTGAGAAACTTGTGCGAGCTGAGGACTAACGAGGTCTTACCTTTTAACGTGTGGTTTCTAACACGGTTGCAGAATCATCCCAGCTTCAACCAGATAAATTCCCTCGAGAAAAATATCTGATCGAGGCGGGAATCGAACCCACGGTCTTCCGATCGTGAGTCGGGCGCACTACCACCCCGGCCAATTCCAAACCTAGGTAACAGATTGTACAGAAGTTCATTCAGGGTGGTTCGTTTTCAATTCAAATAATTTTGAGCTTCGAAACTATGAACTTCAGACCATGATGTATTCTACTTTGTTGAAATCTGTTCATCATGGAACATCTGATAATGCAAAACAATTGATCCATTTGAAAAATGGTGACATGCTCTGGGGGTGCGATAGGGAAAGTATGAATATGTCAAAATGTGTCCCCCGGTATACTATTGCTGACGTCTTTTTTATTTTTCCTGCAAATCATTATTCCAAAAGTTATTCAGGGTGGCTCGTTTTCATCCCAAATTATTTGTAGTTCCCGAAACATAAGCTTCAAACTATATGTTTTATACTTTGCTGAAATCTGCTCATCATGGAGCATATGATAATGCGAAATAATATAGAGTGATCAATTAAAAAAAAATGGTGACATGATCTGAGGGTGTGAAAGGGGAAGTAACATCAAATGTAAATATGTCCAAATGTGTCCTCCGACTATAATTGACGTGGTTATTTATTTTCTCTGTAAATCATTATACCAAAAGTCGCTCGTTTTAAATAGAATGCACTGTATATGCTGATGAATGAATATGTTCAGATAAAAACAGTTTTCTCTTGCATTGAAGAATGAGCAGATCATTATCTGGTATCGGAATAATATTTGTCAACAAAGAATATATATTTACCTATCTCAACTAATAATTAATTTTGTCTTATTTTTTTTTTGACATCATTCCAGTTCTATATTGATTTAATTCCAACATGAATAGACTCTAAATAAGTTCATGTAAAGAAAACATTGACGAGTCCAGCAAATTCAGGATTCATCTCTGGGGACTTGCACCCTGGAGCTTCAATAGATAGTAGTGGTGATGGAAGATAAATTATAATGAACTGTGGAGGTGATTTCATTCCATATCAAGAGCGCATTTTTCGATGTGAATTATGTTCTGACACTTTTTATTACAGGAAAGAAAGAAAAATTATTCATTCACCGTGCATTTAAAAACACAATCTTTCCTGAAAAATTGAATTATTCACAACAGTTTTAGTAATACTGTGTTTTCGTACTTCCTTTTCTGACTACATTTTCATTGTGTTTGGTGAGGTTTTTAGTATTTTCATTCTATTAGGGTCTATGAAGCAGAGCAAGTCAGAATTGAGGGATTTCGCATCCAACAATAGATATCCCTATGTTCCTATATATGACATTGGTACTTAACAATTCTGCACCCTCAAAATTTTTTTTTGGAACTTATATAGAACAATTTTTCTGGGAATGTTTTCAGCTTGTCTTGTCTCAAATATACCGTGCGTCTACTTGTACAGAATTGAATCAATGTTTATTAGAATGTGACCTGTGGAATGCGAGTGATTGAATGATTATTGATATAATTTGAAGTATATGGGTCTGGTACTATTGCAAGAGTGAAAATGAAGTTGAAGATCTTTAGATGAAAACAATATTGAGTAACTCAACTTACTTGGTTCGAAACCGTTTCTTTGCCTACTTTCTTCTTCCTCCAGCATCCTCAGAACCGCAGATTTTTGTAAATTTGCAGGTTTTCCAACGGCTGGATTATGAAAATTGATACTGAAAAAAAATATTACATCAACATATATAAAAATTTTCAACGTTCACTTATAGTTGAATTTCAGAAAAAGATTAATTGATCCAACGAACACACTTATACCATACATGTGAAGTAGGGCACTGTTTCTCGACGCCCGAGTTAGAATAATCAACATGATCAAAATTTATTCTGTACAACTAAGTTAGAGCCTTTTATTTACATCTGAATGAACCATTATCTTTGGTAATAATGTGTTCTCAATACTTATTCTTGTGTTTGTTTGCTATGGCATCTTAATTCCTGATTGTTATGATGATATTTCCTTGTTATGATTCCTCACATTTACTTAGTGACTTATTATAATTATAAAGCAAGAGAGTGAACATTGGCTGTTTGGAATTGGCCCTTTACTGTTCACAGATCCCACTCCTCATTTTTTGATTTCTAGATTTTTGAGCCTGTTGTCATGAACTGGCCTCAACAACTTTAAGCATTTCTGAATCATTTCGTTGGCTGTTCTCTGAGGCATAAAATGCGACACTAGACTTCTCTAATATACGGAACCCATTGTGAAAGTCTTCTAAAAACAAGTTACTTTAGTCTTCCTAGTTTGACCAACATGGTTTTCATCGAATTGAGTTATGAGTTTTTTTTTCGGTAAAACTTGTAATTTTTACTGAATTTATGGAATTTTTCCACTGAACATTTTATTGCCTACGTTATGAAACATTTCACGTAGTAAGACTTTCCTTATCTTTCTTCTTTTTCTAACAGTCTTCGTTTATTACTGTGATAAGTCCAGATAAGTCAGTACCTGGATTTGTTTTTCTAATGTTAAGTTTGATAGCCTCATATTATCTTTTATTTGCATTATGAAAATTTCAGTATTTCTCATGACCATTTTTATTACGTTGTTATCAGAAATCATATTGGATTTCTCTCATTTCTCTACTAGATCGACTTTGGAGTACTTATCACTTTAGACACATAATTTAAAAATCATATTTTTTCATGGCCATCAACACACAACACATAGCATCAATTATGTGATCGGTTCTTGTTAGGTAATTAGGCAATGCTCCCATAACTCACACCTTCAAACTGATCACAGTTGACCATATTCATAAATTACTTTTTACATTGAAAGGGTATAATTTTAGGAGAGATTGATTTATCTACTTCACAAACGTCAAACTCAATCACTGAACTGACCATTTGTTCTGAAATATATTGTTTTCGAAGGAAAACAAGAAAGAAAACATGAAAACAAGAGTGCTCATTAGAAATTTATATTTTTTCGAAAGTTCATCACTCAATAACAAACCGAGAGTAGTTGGAAACTCAAATAGTTTTATGTGAAAGAAATGAATTCACATCTTTGTGAAGTAGTTGGTAAAACACTTCAGACGGAATATTGTGGTCTGGGTTCAGTTCCCACCGAAGAAAATATTTTTTAAATTTTTTCAATCACCCAATTTTCGAACCATTTGAAATTTGATGATTAAATGCAATAGAAAATGAACCAAACGACCCTACAAACAGCTTCACAAATTCTACAACATCCAACTCAACAATTACCGATGGCAAACATCAGTTAAAAGGGGAAGGGAGCCAGGCTTCAACCTGAACAAAATCAAGAAGGATTTCGTCAACAATTACCGACTCAACATTCACCGATACCTTTCACAACTTACGTTACTCCTTACATTCCAAGACTATCTGAAAAAATAAGATGAATTGGAAATGGGTATGATGTTAGAACTTCTTTTAAAACAAAAAATACACTGAGATTTATACTCACATTTACAAAACCCAACAACACTGAAGAAAAAACAAAAAATTGCATTGCATGAGATACCTTGTTCTTGCGGTAAAAGTTATATTGGTGAAACTGCGAGACCATTGAAAGTGCGTGAGAATGAACATCGAGATTATATAAAAAATAGACAATTGATAGGACTTGAATTGTCAGAACACATTTTAAAATCAGATGGTGAACATCGAGTTGAATGGAACAAGACAAGAATTATTACCAATGAGCCTCACTCTAAGAGACGTAAACTAAAAGAATCAGCGTATATTCTCATATCTGGAGAGAATTATATTTTGAACAGCTCCTTAGAAATATATCGTATTTGCCTACCCATCTTGAAGGAAAATTCGGATAGTGGCTAAATGGCAACAGACTGATATCGAAGAGCACCTTGTATTAGATCAAATGTTTCAGTTGTCAATCAACAACATTGACGTAATTTCAAAACTCCTTTGACAGCTGTCGAACAAGTTGAGAAATAAAAAATCACCAAAGGAAAAACTGCAAATATCTTTGAAATTTTTTTTCTGAAGACGGAGGCAGATTTTGGCCTTCGAAACGTTAAAATAAGTATTGTATTATTTCTTAGCAATTTTTTGACAGGCAAAATTGTTAAATACGTTACTGATAAATAGAACATTTTTCTTTGTGAAAAATACGCAGTAAATTATCGGTGTAGACTAAAATTTTTGCCCTTTCTACACTTGTATAAAGCTCTCCATTATAATTTTCATATTTTTCAGATTGTGAAAGGTAAAAATACCCAAAAAATGTCGATTAAAAACTGATTTTCCTCCACAAAAAATTACTTCCGATCAATATGTATGAAGTATTTTTGAATTATTTTTTAAGGTTGCCCCTTTATTTGAAATTCAATGATATTTCCCTCATTCGAAACATCCTTCAAAAAAATTAATAACATATGTTATAGAAAAAGTATAATATTCTATTCCCGAAAAATTGTCATTGCTCGCTCGACTGATTTACGATGAATTCCTTCGGCTCGCTTTGACAAAATTTATTATCTTGAATAATGACCACATTTGAATTAATTGACACTTTTATATTACATTTATGTTACTCCATAAAATACCTCAATTCTTGAGTTGTAGACGGGGTAATAAGTTTTTCATCTTCTGTATTCCTCACTGGGTTATGAGTAGGTACTTCTGTATTGTTTCATTATTTGAAATATCACAGCTTGCGGTGAAATTTTCATATTGAATACAGGTTTTGCAAACGGAAAATGATTGTTTTCCGAAACCTTAACCACTCAAGAACCAAGTATCATTTCTAGAAGTTTACATTACACAGTAACTTTTCGGGGTGAACAGAAAAAATGGTGTTTGAAGAATATTCATTATTTGCCTTCTGAAGAGCCCATTACTAGAAAATTTTCACCTGAAATATCCATTAACTGTATTGAAATCATTCGAAAGAACTAAAATAGTAAATGGAAAACCCAAAAGGGTTTTTATTTCATCCCGATAAAAAATCATCTGGGGAATCGGAATTTAATTTCACGACAATTGAAAATTCAATATATCCATGGCTGAGATGATTTGAGTAGATTTGACTCATTCGTGACATGAGGTAGTAATTTTATAAATGAATTCAGTGCTTTATTTTGTGATGTTATTCAGATTGGTACTGAAGGGCCAACAAGGCAAGTACCTTATTCGGAAACATCAAAGTCCGTCATTGAGGAAGACAGTGTTACATGTAAGTCAAATTTGTTCTCTTTCATATACTTTATCGTGTAGCAATCCTGTGAATGATATCTGATTCAATTCTATAAGCTACAAACTGCATAAGAAACAGTGTTTTTTATAATTCATTATTCATATGAAACTAATTGTTCCGAAACTAGTTTTTTCTTTTGTATCATTCAATGTTTATATGGAAGTAGTTGTTTCGAGAGTCGTTGCTTCCTCCCTTCCCTCCTTCCTGTGGCAGTTTCACACATTTTTTGTATAAAGCTGGAGATGTAGGAAGACAAAACCTTTCTTTCCCAAAAATTGATCTTTCCTAAAAATATATATCCCTTTCAATTAGAAAAAAAGTATGTTAGTAAGTCAGGTTCTGTATCTGTGTTAGGAAGTAAGACCTCGTTAATCCTTGTCTCGCACAAGTTTCGACTTCTGAGGGTTGTCGTTCATAGAAGTGCGACAGCTGGTAAACGGAAAAACAGATTTTAAACAGATTTTTTTCAAAAAGATCTGTAGAGTAGGGAGGGTAGACCCACAGCACTTAGGCCACATGTGACCCATTGTACATCCTCCTGATGAGTTGTCCTCCTAGGTCATCGTTCATTCTGTCCTTTCCAGGAAGGTGGACAGATCACTCTCTTTGGCAACCTTGAGGTGTCTCACGGTGGCCTCCGCGAAGGTTTTGGAAGATGCAGCAACATTACTGTCGTTGCGCGGCTTCTTTAACCTTCTTGGGGTTCCCTCCGTGGATGTGCACAAATGAGGGAGGTTTCCTGCAGGGGCAGTCGGTTCCTTGCCTTTATTGAAGGCGGAGCTCTTGGTGTCTGCCGCAGAAAGTGCCCTTGCTGTTGGAGGTGGAGTGGGGAAGGAGGAGGATGCACTTATAGTTGCTGCCACTCCTGCCTCCTTAGCTCTCTCTTTCTCCTTTGGGCGTCGGCGCCGCAAATGCGCTTACGCCTTGGCCTTTGTATTACATCACGAGGTGATCTGCTATGTCCAGCCTCATTCCAAGCGGTAGATAGGGGTGGATATTTCTGTTCATCCCCAGCCACCGCCTTAGATTGAGGTGAGCATTTCTGTCCAGCCTCGGGACTGGTTCTGGTTTTTTTTGTTTATGTTTTTGCATTTGTTTCATTCGAGTGTGTTCCCACGAGTAGCAAAGGAAGAGTTGATCACCTCTGGCAGAGCCCCGCATTAGCAGAGGTAGGCTGATTACAATGAGGTTTCGCCCAGTTCCTCAAGGGGATCGTCCGTGATCCCATATCACCCTGCGGCCATTCAGCTGTCGGCACGATTTCTTACACCTTAGCTTAGGTAGGCTGGTCTACGGTGGCATGTTTTGCAAAGGCTTTTGGGGAGTTTCAGTTCCCCACAACCTACTCATTTCTGCCACTGACCAGGAGTCCGGCGAAACCGTCTGTAAGGCCACATTGGCTTCCCGGACAGGGCCTCCAGTCCCCTGGCCGTTTCCCAATCCGCCACCTGGGGACGCGCCCGA